ACAGCCCTGTGTCACTTCTCTACTTATCTGGATCGCATTTGTGCTATTTTCATCTAATGTTACCACCAGCTGTTGGTTCCAATAGAGATTTCTCACTATGTTAATGTCATTTTTGTGAAAACCTTTTCTCTTTAGAACTTCCATGAGAATGTTTTATTTACCTTTTTCGAAAGCATTCTCATAGTACATAAACGCAACGAAAAGATCTTTTTGTTGGTCTCGACATTTTTGGGCAAGAGTTGTAAAACTATACAAAACTTTCACTGTTCCGAAGCCGTTAACAAAGTCAAACTGTCTATTACTCATATCCGCTTCGCACTTTCTGAATATTGTTTCATGTACCTATAATCTTTAAAACTGTTTTTAATAAGTGTGACATTAAGCTGATTAATCTCTAGTCATTACAGTGTTTGGGGTTCTTGGTTTTTGGTAGCGGAATAATGGTCGATAGCAGCGATTCTGTAGGTATCTTACCAAATTTGTATATGTTGTTAAAGAGTACAGTTATGGCACTTAAATTGTCTTCGTCACTGGATCACTGGATCCAATTTATTTCTGATTACTTTACATCATAATATAAATTGATGACCACATTTACAATACTAATAAAAAGAAGAACTGTCGTACTACCCCATACAGCTCTATTCCTATCCTAGTTATTACTCTAGTATTACTCTTACGCTCAAGAACTTTTCCAATAGTCGTAAATTAGTGCAGTAGGGCCAATGATCACTACTCTCTAGATAACCACAACTGAGTTATGTTTTCTCGAACATTAACATTTGATTTACCAATCTTTTAGTTTTTTTTGCACCAGTCGACCCAATTTTCTAGACAACTGATATATCCATGTCCATCTTTTTAAGTTATTTTATTATTTTTGTGTCTTCTACAGGCCTGTGCCTGTGGGTTTTAACATATTTAAGGTTCTAACTTTCAGTGTTCAGGTTGTTTTTTATTTGCTGTGGTTGTCGTCGTATATCTGTCCTATGCCGAGGCATCTTGTTAGGTTTCATAATAAGACTGCCTTTTATTATGTATGTTTGGTAGTTCTACGCTCAACCATCCTTTCGAAGCATTATGTCTGCCTTATTTTGCTGCTTTATCTTTTTGTTCCTCTTCCCCGGACAACAAACTAACAATAATAATTTTTATATTCATCTTTCATGAAATATGTAAATCCACTGGCTGAGTTGTCGTCATCTTGCCGATAAATGCACGTGGCAGAATTTATTTACAAGATGTAGCGGAGCGTTCCGTTGCCGGCCGAGTCGGTCAAATGCGCGCTTACCTTTAGGGTAGGCACATGTGGTCATTACCACACTTATTGTACTTTTTATCGTTAATTCTTGTGACGTTCGGTACGTACTATGTACGTTACCGAACGAAAAATTTTAAACGTTTTATTTTACGTTGTGTTTGTTATGCAGTTTGCGTAAGTGAACATAGTGCTAGATGAGCTTTTCGGAATAAAATTGTTAAATATAATTAGAAGTAGATTGTGCTTTTAATATTGTAAAAATTGTAAACTGTGCGATAGTTGGTTGTAATAGCAATAATAAGAAAAAACTAAAAAATCCATCAAAGTTTCGATTTTTTACATTCCGGCAGAAAAAAATTTGGGTTGAGAAATACATGCAAAAAGAAAAAAATAAACGTTTTTACAGCAAGTGTATGCTCAAAACATTTTACTGAATCTGATTACCAGCTGAAAGAAAAATTGTTGACTTATCCAGAAACAAAATGGAAACTAAATTCAGAAGCAATACCTAATGCTTATTTACCAACTGAAAACTGTTCTTCTTCCGCATCAGAGTCTAATAGAAAACACTGGGCAGAAACAAATAAAGGAGACAACTAGTCAAAAATATATTGGATAAGTGAGTCCTTACTTACAATGTAGAGTGTCATCTCCCTACGGAGGTTGGCAATCATAATGGCTATTTTTATTTTAGAACTTGCTGCTCTAAACAAATCAATCGATCTGCATTGATAGCAATCACGTAGATTCTTTAACCATGAGTTCTGCTTTCGGGCAACAGATCTTCTTCATTGAATCTTTCTCTGTATTATGAGTCTCAAAATTTCCTATTTTGGTTCCCTCATCACGTGGCCTAGGTATTAAAGTTTTCTGGTTTGTATAGTAATGATTAGTTCTGTTTCTTTACCAACCCTCTCCAGTACTTCTTTATTTTTAATTCTATCAGTCCATGATATTTTCATTACTCTGCGGTATAACCTGATTTCGAACGCCTCGATTCTTTTTAAATTACATTTTTTTAATGTCCAAGTCTCAGCTCCATATAATAATATTGAAAATATATAACAGCGAATGGTACGTAGTCTGATTTCCAAATTTAGATTTTTGCACGTTAGGAGTGGCTTCGTTCATATAAATGCGGATTTGACAATCTCTATTCGCCTGATTATTTCTACAATATGATCATTGGTTTCATTAATCAAAGTTCCCAAGTATTGATATTTTTCTACTTGTTCTATCACGTTACCATTGATTGTCAATAGGTGATGTATATTTTGTGGTCCTTTTGTAATTAGCATGTACTTCGTTTTTTTAGCGTTTACAGTAATTCCCATCTCAGCACTATTCATACTAAATCTTTCGACAAGATGTTGTAGATCCTCTATACTCTACTATCTATCACAGTATCGTCTGCATATCTTAAGTTGTTAATTAATTTTCCGTTAACGGTGACTCCCGCTTCGATATTATTGAGCGTGTTTTGGAAAATTTCTTCAGAATATAAGTTAAACATGAGTGGTGATAAAACACAACCCTGTCTAACTCCTCTACAGATCCTCATTTCTTCTGAGTGTTGCCCATCAATTTGAACTATGGAACTTTGGTTGCAATATAATGTTTGCACTATATTTATGATTTTACTGTCAATACGGTTGTTCATAATTATTGATATTAGTTTTTCATGTCTTACTTTATCGAAAGCTTTTTCGTAGTCAACGAAGTACAAGTGTAGATCAACATTTACATCCCGACATTGCTGAATCAATATGTTAATGGCAAATAGTCCTTCTCAAGTACCCATTCCATTTTGGAACCCGAACTGCGTCTCGCTCATATCCTCCTCCAGCCTTTCGTATATTCTCTTATGTATTATTTTTAGCAGAACTTTTAAAGTATGACTCATAAGGCACAGTGTTCGATAATCAGAGCACTCTTTTGTTGCTTGTGTTTTAGGGATGGTTATACATGCTGACTTCAACCAGTCTTGTGGTATTATTCCTGTATCGTACACCGTGTTGAATAAATCTGCCCGTACTTCCAAGTTATCTCTTCCATAGAGTTTTGATAGCATATTTGATTTCATCTATCGTGATCTTCTGTCTCTCTAAAGGGTTTAATTCTTATATTTTCTGCATTTCACCTCTTTCATCTTGGAAAAGTTCTCTAACGTACTCCTCCCATCACTTTAACTTCTCTGGTAAATCTATTAGTAGTACTCCTTTTTTGTCTTTTTATGTGTCCTTGCTCTCTATTTTGACCCATTTCAGTCACTTCTTTAATTTTTATGTGCATATTTCTCATATCATATTTTGTTTCTAGTTTTTCTATCTCTTTATATTGCTTTACCAAATAGATTTCCTTAGCTGTTTTGATTTTTCCTTAATTATTCGTTGTATTTCTTTATACTTCTGTAGATCTTTTCCTTTATTATTCCTTCTTTCTTTCATCAGTAATAGTATTTCTTCTGTCATCCAGTGTTTTTTAGCCTCTGACCTATGTTGTACTAAACTTTCTTGAGCTAATTTCAGTAATGTGTTTTTTATATTATACCACTTTTTATTTACATTCATAAATTATTGTTTTTTGCATATTAACATTAACATTATTTTTTAATTCGTTTTTTATTTCTTCGTTTTGTAGCATTTTTACATTACTTTTTGGTTGTTGTTTTCTGATAATGTGGTTTTCTGTATGTGAAGGAGACATCCATGTATATAGTCTTCTTTTAGGAAGCTGAAACCAAGTATTGGCAATTACCATATTCTTTTCTTTTTAAATTGTAGGTAATAACCCAGAAAATAGTTACTGTTGTCTTTCGCGTTCAATTGGCACTTAGGTTGGTTCAATTGAAGATGCAGAAAAAATTGGTCAATTTAAAGAAGAAAATAAACAATGGCGAATTATGCTGAAAAATTATGGGCTAACAAAACAGGAAAAAGCCTGTATAATTATTTTCGATAAAATGAAAATTCAAAAAACGTTTGAATATGGTAAAAAACGCGATCATATTTTAAGACCTCATAAATATGTGCAAGTTGTTATGGTCCAGGGGATTTGCAATAAATGGAAACAGCCTATTTTCTTTGATTATGATCGGCAAATGACAAAAGAATTAATGTTTGAAAGAATCGAGACTTTAAACATTGACTATCCGGTTTATGCTATAAACTCAGATTTGGGTGGCAGTAATCGAGGTTTGTGGAAACGATTTAATATTTCTGAAAACAAGCCCTGGTTTGAAAATCCAACATCTGAAAAAAACTATGAGATTTTTTATTACAACACATATACCTATTGAATTATTGTACTGGTATGACTATAATTCACCAACGTGTAAACTAAAAATTGTAACAAATGAACGACAGTTTCAATATAGTTTCAATTCTTTAAGAGCACGATCCCACAATTTTATTGTGTGGTGACGTCATGCGCGAGTTGTTGCAAAGTTGTTCTCGAAGTGGCTTTATCTTATTCTCGCAATATCATGCCTGGAAGTAAAAACTGCTGATGCGCATTACTATCCCTTTGAACCTCTTGAAACTCCATCAAAAAAGCACGAAAACTTGATATCAGTAGATAGGTTCTTCTATAATCTAAATATATTAGCAGAATATTAAATCATGTCAATTCAGGTAGACTTTTCAAGAAATCATTTCAAGAGATTTTCAATTCTCATACTATTTGCGGTTTCTAGGATTTAAAAGGGAATGTAAATAAGGTAAAATAAATAAAAAGTTTTGTACGTCAACATTTATTTAGTAGAAATAATTTAGAAACTACACTTTTTTCATGCTGATTTTGTGTTCTCTGATACATTATTTATGTTTAATTTGATCTAACAATATCATTTTCTTCTCTTGTTTTATAGTTCCGCTGTCTGGGTATTATTGCAAAGTCTAAAAACATAAATGATTCATTAACATAAATACAGATAAAAATATATGTAACGATATGGCCAAGTTTATATGTATGCCAAATGTAAGTAATTTTATAAAGCACGAATTTTTAAAAAAATTATAACGAACTAGAACATAAAAAATAATGTTTTATATATACACAATAATTTATAACCAGATTCTAATTATTGTTCTCATTAAATTGTTCTAAAATGTTTGTTACTATGTTCAATGTTAGATCATATGGCTGTCAGCAGAGCATATCAAAGACAATTTCCAGAACGTCGAACGTCGATCATCAAAAGTTTGGATCAGTGTTTAATTATAAAGATAATTTTTCGACTGTTCTAACAACCATTCAAATTCCGTCATTTTGTGTCATGTGGAACAATTTCACCCAATCATGTCAACATTAGACTGATAATTGCATTCAGTGCAATTTTCAATCCCTATGACACGATCGAGCTTGACAACTTCCAATACATTCATCCAAATAAATTTCAAAAGGTCACCATAAGATTATAAATATTATACGTGATAAGAGATCTTCTATAGTAGAGAACAGCAACGAATCTAATGTTAACTTAAATTTTAATAATTTTACTTTCACTAACTGTACTTTTAATAAATAAATGTTTCGTTATGTTGAGTAATGATTTTTTTTTCGAAAAATTATTCGCCGAATATCCCTCGGACATTGATGAATGCCTCATAATTTTATGACAAATTTCTCAAGCTCGTTGCTTGGTAACAGCACTCAGCCTTCGGCTTCGTGCTGTTACCAAGGAACGAGCTTTCGATTGTCATGAAATTATCTCGTCTGTTATCAATGTCCTAGGGATATTACTACTGAAAATAGATCGTTTTCTAAATCAAAATCTAGATGAGCAATATGACGTTTACAATAGGATAGTTAGGCGTTTCTCAATAAAAAATTGATAGAGTATTAAAAAATAAAAATTTACATTCTTATCACATTAAGGAGATGAAATCCCACGATTACAATTTGCTAGGTTGATTTGGAATAATGATCGCTTATTGTGTGGGATGAAATAAAATAAAGGATGAAATAAGTAACTCGCACAACTCATATATTTGTTGACTCGCACAAAAATCATTTTCAGTGAATGTTTGAACGGAAGTAATAGACAGAGAGTTAATAGGCCCCCATTTCTTTAATGCACAGTGGGCAGGTATTAGGAACTTATATTTCTTACAAAATATTTTGCCGAATTGACTACCCAAAGTAGCCGCTCAAGGTATGTACCTTATGCACGATGGGATATCTCACATTTCTTAGGTGCTGTTGGTCAAAATATTCGTATGTGTTATGGAAATAGGTGAATAGGACGCAGGAGGCTCATGCATAGCCGCCTAGATCACCTTAGTTTAACCTCGTCGACTATTGGGTATGGGTTTATTGAAAGAAATGGTTTATTGAGAAAATATTAATATAGAAATTATTCCTTAACTTTAAAGGAGGTCAATTAGACATTTGATGTTCCAACAAAGACGTTGTATAGAAAAGGTTGGATTTTCTTCTTCTTCAGATGCAAATCCACTAATGGATGTTAGCGATCACATTTTCCATTAACTCTCTATTTCTTGCAATATGTATCAGAGATTGTATGTCGTTAATCCCTGTCCATTGCCTTATGTTTCGGAGCCAGGACATTTTCTTGCGTCCCATTCCTCTCTTGCCTTCAATTTTACCCTCGATTATAAATTGGAGGAACTGGTATTTTTCATTTCGCATGATGTGACCTAGATACGCCGTTTTCCTTTTCTTGATGGTTTCGAAAAGTTGGCGTTCTTGGTTTATTCTTTTAAGGACATCTATATTTGTGATTTTCGCTGTCCATGGTATTTTTAGGATACGGCGATAAAGCCACATTTCGAAAGCTTCCAATCTGTTTATATCCCTCGTTTTGAGTGTCCAGCCCTCTACGCCATATAGCAGCACTGACCATACGTAGCACTTAGTAAACCTTAGTCTCAGTTGAAGATCGAACTCAGAACAAGTCAGTACAAGGTTGGATTTTAATTCGACAATTTTCTATAAATCTCAACAATTTTACCTTTGTGTTTCATTATGTTGAGTTCATTTTATTTGTTTTTTATGTAATTTCATAGGCTTCTTGTATATTTTTAAATTTTCTTAAAAATTAAAATAAATTCGTGTATTTTGAATGTTTTCTGAATATTTTCTTTTCCTCAATTTAAAAAGGATTCTGTATTTTTTCTTTTAAAACAACATAATAACGCTACCTATGAATCACTAAACGAATATTGTACCTACAAGGCGATAATTTAGTATAATTCAAAACAACTTGTACCTCTTGAAATTCTGTAATTTGGCTACTAGGGTTGTATTATTTGAAATGAATGTTACGAGCTATTGGAGTATTATTACTTGTATATATAATATTATTCCTAAAACTTTTGCAAAAAAAGTTATATATACTTTTATATATATATATATATATATATATATATATATATATATATATATATATACATATATACATATATATATATATATATATATATATATATATATATATATATATATGTATATATATATATGTATATATATATATATATTTATATATATATATATATATATATATATATATATATATATATATATATATATATATATATATACCGGTATTTAGGCACCACGCCCTTCCGGTAGAGATCTATGGAGGAGTATCACCGAGCTGCAACTCCTTATCTCTTGCAGTACTGCTCCACCATAGGAATTGGCTCGGTGTGCAAAAAAAATTAAAAGGTCAACGCAGCAGTTAACAATTCTAAAACGAATCTGGGGCTTAGACTAGAATATGTTGGTGTGTGATCGTCCTATGGTGGAGCAGTACTGCAAGAGATAAGGAGTTGCAGCTCGGTGATACTCCTCCATAGATCTCTACCGGAAGGGCGTGGTGCCTAAATACCGGTATATATATATATATATATATATATATATATATATATATATATATATATATAAGGAAGAATGATCACAGCTGTCCAATTATTAATTAGTATAATGGTAAGGTTTCAGCTGCTAACCCAATTAAACTTACCATTATATATATATATATATATATATATATATATATATATATATATATATATATATATATATATATATATATATATATATATATATATATATATATATATATAACACTGTTTTTGATGGGTTGGAGTCAATAAAAGGGGCTATTTGTTGACTATTTTTTACTCGAGCTTTCAATTGTGATTACAATTTTTATCAAGAGCTTCTAAAAAATACAAAATGTCTTACAAAGTTGAACTAGAAATAAAAAATTTTTTGTTAACTCATTCATGAGTTAACAAAAAATTTTTTATTTCTAGTTCAACTTTGTAAGACATTTTGTATTTTTTAGAAGCTCTTGATAAAAATTGTAATCACAATTGAAAGCTCGAGTAAAAAATAGTCAACAAATAGCCCCTTTTATTGACTCCAACCCATCAAAAACAGTGTTATATTTTTTCCAAACGAGTCACAAGTACTTCTTTTTTCTATATATATATATATATATATATATATATATATATATATATATATATATATATATATATATATATATATATATATATATATATATATATATATATATATACCGGTATTTAGGCACCACGCCCTTCCGGTAGAGATCTATGGAGGAGTATCACCGAGCTGCAACTCCTTATCTCTTGCAGTACTGCTCCACCATAGGACGATCACTCACCAGCATATTCTAGTCTAAGCCCCAGATTCGTTTTAGAATTGTTAACTGCTGCGTTGACCTTTTAATTTTTTTTGCACACCGAGCCAGGGCTTGAACCGACATCCACTTAACCATGGATTCAGGTAAAGAGAGTGGAGTGGGAGTTGTTGTTATATACTTCGACATTCTGGACTGCTATAATATAAGTTGTGTTTTTATTTTTTATTAAAACCAACTAGGAATAAGTATTGGACTTTAATGTCAAAATAGGAAAAGGTAGACAAGGAAACATTTTAGGGAATTTTGGACTTTGGTAACGTAATGACATACATTCTTTAAACTACCCAAGCGTCGTTTATATACTTGGAAGTCACCAGCAGATACTAAAAAAAAGATCATAAGAAATCAGATCGATTATATAACAATTTAAGAGAGGTACCGAAATTCAATCAAAATATCTAAAATAATACCTAGAGCCGATGTACCCTCAGATTATAATTTATTAATCAGTGACATAAAACTCAAACTTAAAATAGTAAAACGCCAACAACCGACTAAGCGAATAAACACTGACTGTATTCAAAATAGTAGTCATAAACTTACACCAGAGATAAACAAGAAGTTAGAAAAATCGGAAGAAACACAACGTCGAAGACCACTGGCATCATATCAAAAACATTATGCAAGAAACAACTAAAAAGTATAAAACTATTAATAATCACAAACAACAATAGATGACTGATGAAATATTGGGACTAATGAAAAGCAGGCGAAAACAAAAAAATAAAAACACTGAAGAGTACCATAAAATCCATGAAGAATTAAGAAAGAAAATCAGGGATGCATAGGATAAATGGCACAGCAACAAATAACTTTAAATAGACGAACTGCAAAAAAAAGAATGACTCGTTTAATATGTACAAAAAGGTGAAAGAAGTAACTGAAAAATATAGATCAACTGCAAGTAGTTTACTTGATAAACAAGGAAATATTATAGTCCATAAACAAGACAGATTAGAGAGATGGAAAGAATATATTAAGGAGCTGCTGCTTGATGACAATAGAATAGAAATTCAAATCAAAAATATATCGACTGATCCAAACATATTACTCGATGAAATGGAGAGAGCTATAAAACTATCAAAGAATAGGAGAGCAACCTGTCCAGATGAAATTCCAAGCGAAATAATCAAACTGCTCGACGATAAGGGCAAACATTCTCTTCTAAGCTTCTTTAATAAAATATACGAAACAGGACATATACCATATATAACAGAGTCGCTACTGTAAACATTTGTAATGATACCGAAAAAATAAATACCAAACAGTGTAGCGATCATCGCACTATCAGTCTGATGAAACATGTACTAAAAATTTTGCTAAGAATACTGCACTCTAGAATTTACAACAAAATATAAGTACAACTAAGTGAAACACAATTTGGTTTCAGCAACAACCTTGGAACTAGAGAAGCACTCTTCAGTTTGCAGGTCATGGTTCAAAAATGTAGGGATAAAGAACAATTAGTATATGTGTTTTATCGACTTCGAAAAGGCCTTTGACCGAGTAAATCATGAAAAACTTATAGGTGTCTTGCAATAGGTGGAAATTGACGACCGAGACCTCCGTATTATCAAAAATTTGTATTGACATCAATGTACAAACATACGAGCTAGACACAACACGACGGAAGCAATAGAAATACGACACGGAGTAAAGGAAGGATGTATTCTATCTCCTCTACTTTTTAATATGTACTTCGAATTTATTTTCAAAGAAACCTTAGTTGAAGATACTTAATACTTTTAAGACAAAAGGTATGGTTGTCGGAAAAACGGAATTACAACCAATGAACATCAGAGCGTATGGAATAGAGTTAAAAAGAGTCCACAATATTACCTAATTGGGTGCAAAAGTTAACGATAACTGGGATATAAGTACAGAAATCAGCACCGTTACTCCCTGCTACAGTCTATATTGCAAGGTAAAGTCAAAGGTAAGCGAGGACCCGGTAGAAGGAGAATATCATGGCTGCGGAATTTAAGAACATGGTTTAAGAAAACCTCAACGGAGCTGTTTCGAGTCGCAGCGAGCAAGGTTATGATTGCCAATATGATTTCCAACATCCGAAACGGATAGGAACCAGAAGAAGAAGAAGTACAGAAATAAGAATATGCATTGAAAAAACCAGAGCCGCCTTCTACAAATTAAAGAAAATTCTAATTAATAGATATATTACGTTAAACCTTAAAATCAGATTAATACGCTGCTACATATTCTTCACATTGCTGTATATTATGGAGAGCTGGACCCTTACAGAGACATTAATGAAAAAATGAGAGGCCTTTGAGATATGGATTTATCGACGAGTACTGCGGATAAGTTGGGTTGATCGAATAAGAAATGAAATACTTTTACATCGAATGAAAAAGAGCACAGAAATATCAAAAATTAATAAATATTCAGTCATGATATTTCGGTCATGTAATGAGACATCCAGAGAGGTATAACCTTCTACATTTCATAATACAGGGTAAGATCGACATAAGGAGAGGCCCAGGTTGACGAAGTCTTTTGGCACTATCAAGGATTGATCAATTAGGAGCTGTCGATTTGGTCATGTATTCTTTCATCAATTGTCCTTTGGTAGTGATCTAAGTTTATTTTCTATTAGAATGTTAATATTTATACCGGTTACTCTTGCTTTTGTGATTAATTTTATTCTTTCTAGTTTATTATCTAGATTAGTCTATGATCGCTGTCCGATCGAAATATATTTATAACACTGACGTCTTTTATTGTAGCAATCTTGTTGGTTAGAATGGGGCCAATTTCGTTTTTAGTGATTCCATTTGGTGCTACCCAAGTCCATTTTTTTTATTATTTCTTAAAGAATATATAATATATATATATATATATATATATATATATATATATTATATATATATATATATATAATAAAACGATCGTCGGGACTTACCATACCGTTTTAAAAAAAGTGTGTTCAACTTTCAAACTTATAACAAATGTCCAAAATCGTTAAAATTTATAAAAAAGTGCAATAAATGTTATAATAAGACAATAAAGTACCTTCTGTATTTCTTACATCGTTGCTAATACCAAATCCAAGATCGTTCCAGGCATGGGAATTTCGACCAATTCGTAGTATTACATGTTTTACATCTTGATGTCCTGGAATCAGAACTTTTTAGCATTTTCTGCATGTTTTATTACACAGACGGTTATAAATTATAACACCCCGGTAATAACATAAATTTTAAAAAAATAATAATTAATAAATTAATAAAAAGCTTAAATAGGAATTAATAATAATAATAACAAATAATTACCAAAAAACTTAAGATTAAAAAAATCATAATATACATAAAACCATAATATAGAGGTTAAATTGAAAATAACATAAATAAATATTAAAAAAGAGAAGAAAATGTGAACATCAAATAAGCATGTTGAATTGACTTGAATTAAATTATAGAAGAGACTAATTAATTGATTGAGAGTTGTATTGCATCAGAGCTTCGGAATTTATAATGGCTTGCTTTATATCAAGAAATAAAAAGGAATTAGAATTGAAAATTAAAATAGTGTAGTTAAATGTTAATACCAAGGAGACACCATTGCTGTTTAATTTTTGGCCAATAGAGGAAAGTTAAGGAAATATCCTTTCATTTTTTGACACTCTATTTAGAAGGTTCGTTTAGAAATATAATTCATTTTAAGATCATATATTTAGTGAGTTAGAATTTATATTATGGAGAAATGAAGAAATGTACGTAGATGCGAGTGTTAGAATAAGAGCAGAACAAAGTAAATGGGAAGAACCCTTTATTTATAAAGTATGGTTAATTAGAAAACAAATAATAAAAACAAGGCTTAAATACAAAATTTACTCCACATAGTTACTAAAGCAACAACTTATAAAAATCGTTTAAAAAACAAACCGGAAGACAGTATAAACGCTAGACATCAGCGTCACAAACATTTCGGTTTTGATTGAATTTAAACTTGTGAGCGAATCTGTAAATCTTATTAGCAGATTCACAGCATAGGAAATAGTAACCTCTTTCTTATCGCTGCTAGAACGACTCTGTATAGAAATTCTCTGTAATCTTTGGCTGGAAAAAGATCCGTGTATTTTGCAACTTCTGGCACTGACGTTGACCCCATTATGATACATCCAGGAAGGATTTGGTAAATTTAAAAACTAAAATTTAATTAAAAAAAAACTAAACGTTTTTATTGACTTACTTATACCTTGTGGGTTTAGAATATCATCAAAGCTTCTTGGCTCCTTATCCAACTGGACCATGAAAAGATCCTTGTATTGATCAGGTAATGCCAAGTTACCTAAAAATAAGTTACCTTACTATACGTGTTGGTATAAATAATCTCATAAGATTCATATATTAATAAATCACATTACGTTCTAGGACGTTTATATTTCTTTACAGATGTCTAAAAGATATTACAGAGAGTATCTTTAAAATTGTTAGAATAAAATTCATGTAAGTATGCTACAAGCCTGTATATAACACACAGGACAAAGAAAATATTAAGAATGGCCAGAGAAAAAAGTGGCAAACTAATAATAAAATCTCGAAAGTAGAAATCCGAAGATTTTTATTGGCGAAATCAAAATTCAGATTTTTGCTTTAATCTGCCCCTTCTATGAATTTGCAAGGCAAAATAGACGATGCTAAAGATGTAATAGAAATATGAACGATCTAAAAATTGCATCCCACAATGCATATCTCCTCATGTAAAATCTCCTTATCCAAAAATCCTTAGCAAATTTGTTTCTTGTACTAATAAAGAATATACCGAAGAAAAGAAGGGACAGTTGAGGTTTGATTTTACGTATAGTGCATCTGTATATTCGCTTATCGTATTTCATCCTAGCAGGAATCATCAGAGTGACTGGTACAGAAGCTCTAAATGTGAAAACAAAAATTTTTCTGCCGAAGGAAATATATGTGTATATATCGAATAATAAAATAAATGTGTACACATTGTAACGAAAAAGCTTCAAGACAAGAAAAGGCCGTTTCTGTGACTGCTGCTATATGAGAGGTGAGGTTACCAGAACTTGTTCACTCGACTAGAAAAATGCTGTGAAGATGCTCATCTATAACAAGTCTCACTTACAAAGAACAAATAAGAAGTAGAGTTCAACGAGCAAGTGAGAATTTGCAAGAATTTGAAGTACATGTTGCTCGTACAGTATGGTCGGTTTATCCAGAGGCAGACAACATTTTGGAAAAAATTAATGTAGATACCTTTGTCAATGGATTCAGAGACAGTGAACTGCAGAAAGTTTTACGACTAGCAAGACCAAAAGTTTTAGATATAGCGCTCGTCATTGCCTTGGAACATGAACTAGCTAGTCGAGCTTCATGGATCTATCCAGTATAAACATCTGATGAAGGCAACGAACAAAACAATGAACGTCTGAAGGAAACGATACGGAAAGCAGTTCATAACATGATGCCGACGAAACATCAAAACAGGGCTAGAAAATTTATTTAAATGCTAATTATGAATGTGTTGCTTGTGTGAGTCCATTTTAAATAGGTAAAGAAATAATAAATAAGACTTACTCACAATCAATTTAATTTACCTATAAGACGACCGGTTTCGCTTTCTACAATATGCAAAGCATCCTCAGGTCTCGATACAAAGTTAAACAAATGATGCCGGTACTCTATTAATTGATGGATGGTAGAACATGGTTGAAACTACTATGTATTGTTGAATGGAGAACTCAATTTTGTTATTGCAGTTGTTTGACAGTAAACGGGAAGTTCTTGAGGAGATAGATTTGATCCAATGAAGAAGAGATATGTGTGTGATTGTTTGTTAAATGAAAGTGATGTGATATACCATTGTATTATTAAAAGTTATTTATACTTATTCGAGAGATATATTTATAAAATGTGTCTTATTTATTGAGTAATTGTTTTAAGAAGGTGACAGTTTTATGACAATGAATAAGTTTAGATGTAAGAATTGTGTGGGTGTGCAAATATTTTTTTTTTTTTAATTTGTAGTTATCAAATTACTTTGATAAAGTTCTATTGGCAATTGGTAAATTATTGAAAAGTCAAGTGAAGTAAATAAAATATTAGAATAAAAACAATTAAGGACAATTTAAACACACTAAAACAGAAAACACTTAGAAGGGACGAAACAAACATTAAATTTAAAAGGGGGGAAGGACTTTAATGCACTACATCTCTGTCTTGGGCACAATGAGTTTTTTTATGTTTTATCTAATAGATATCGAGACCTGAGGATGGTTTCCATATTGAAGAAAGCGAAACCGGTCGTCTGATGGTTAAATTAAATTGATTGTGAGTAATTTTTATTTATTATTTCTTTACCTATTTTAAATGCTTATGTTTTTTTTGAGGTGGCCATGCAGTGCAAATTGTAATCACTGTCTTAAATTAGGGAAACGAACAATTTCTGTGATACACCGTCGTCATTAATGAACAATGACAGCCTCAACAACTCTAAAGAAAGTATTGGATTGGATACGTTAAGGTTAAAAACCTTCTTGGCAACACATTAGTGCATGTAGTAAAGTGAAGGTGATATAGAAAGATAGTGCTGGAAATGTGAACTGTGTGCAACCAGTAATAGTTCAGTTAGTAAAAAGTAGCTAATCGACATTGCCGGCCCATTTCTAGTATCGGATGATAGCCATGAATTATTTTACGAAATGGACTGAGCCTATGCGATACAAAATTAAGAAGCTGCTATAGCTACAGAGGTACATATTTCAGACGACTCGGGGTTCTTTTTGAAAACCACTCCGACCAAGGGTAAAACTTTACGTTGACCCTCTGTTAAAACGTTTGTAAATTGATTGGTGTCTAGATTAGATTATATTATTAGATTATGTAATAGAAGACTAGAACAACCATCCTGCATGCTCCATCAGATGAAATAGTCGAGAAGAGGAACCGAACAATGGGTAATCAGCTGTTTAAACTTGTATTCGAACATCAAATAGTATGGTACATGCACATTTATTTATTTCGAATGGCTTATCGATCAGCCGTGAATAAAACTACAGGCCAGACTCCAACCTGCCTGATGTGGGGTCATGAAGTTCGTTTGCCTTGCGAGCTAGAATTTGTCTGCAGACCTTCCTAAGAATATGTTGCAAGCGAAGAATATGTCAAACGCCTGAGAATGAACAATATATTCAGATAACCAGTGACAGAATGAAAGAATAATACACACAAGTAGGTATGTATTGATATAAGCATAAAAATAAAAGGTGATAAAGAAAAGAAGTAACAAATTTAAAAATAAACATTAAAATATACTGAATAAACTAATACAGATATCAATATATGAAAATACCATAAACAAAAAATCCACAAGGCAAACAAGAAAACTAAATTTCTGTTGTTGGCTGTATATCATGTATTATAAAAAATTTATTTAAAAATTCCTTTATAAAAGACATAATAATAAAAACCCTATTGGACTACATCACAGAACGTTTTCGGAAAACTCTTCCATTATCAGTGCTCTCTTGATGTACATGTTTGAAGCCACTAAATACACGAGTTAAAATCTTTTAAATGTTAAATCTTTTGTTTAAGTTACAAAAGGAATTGACTATATGGCAGCGTAAGACTCCACTGAGCTTGCTAGTCCTTAAACGAAGTGTCTGTGAGGACTTGTTTATAGAAACTTGAGTTGGGAATTACTGTAAACGCTAAAAAGCGAAATATATGCGCATTTCAAGAGACCGCAAAATATACACAAGATATTGACAATAAATGGTAACGTGATAGAACAAGTAGAAAAAATATCAGTACTTGGGAACTTTGATAAGTGAAACCAATGATCATACTGCAAAAATAAACAGGCCAATAGATAGTGCCAGATCAGCATTATTAGGAATGAAGTCATTCCTTCACTTAATGCTATATATTTTCAATATTATTATATGGTACTTGGACATTAAAAACATGCAATTTAAAAAGAATCTAGACTTTCGACTTATGGTTGTACTGCAGAGTATTAAAATATCATGTAGGTATAGAAACAGAACTGATCGCCACTATATAAACAAGAAAACTAAAATACCTGGGCCACTTGATGAGGGGACCAAAAAATAAAATTTTAGGTAAAGATTCAAGGAAGATCTGTTGGCCACCTTCGTGAATAGTATCAATGCAGATCGATTAATTTGTTTAGAGCAGCAAGTTCAAAAATAAAAATAGCCGTTACGATTGCCCAACTCTGTAGGGAGACGGCAATCTAGGGAGAAAGGATCCTTAAGCTAACGAGGACTAATGAAGGGAATCCAATTTAACCTACATAATATTTTTTCACCCATTTTTCACTAATTAATCACCACCCTAATAATGTTTCACCAACAAAGCAACCTTAACGGGAGCGATTCTGCTGGCTTAAGGTTCAAGCTAGCAGATTTTGGAAAAGTAACTTTTGCCTATGGCATATTTTTTGACCCGATTTTTACTAATTTATTACCACCCTTACAATTTTTTACGACCAAACCACCCTTAATGGGAGCGATTTTGCTGACTAACGATTAAAACTAGTAGAATTAAAAAAAATATTTATGATTATACAACAGTGCTTTGCTAGGTTTTTATGAATTTATTACCACCCTATTAATTTTTCACTTCTTAACTACTCTTTGTGGGAAGTCAATATCAAGCTATTAAGCGGAAGCTCGAATTTTAAGCTGACAAATTCATATAAAAATTTTGAAATACCACATAATTCTGCTCGATTTTTACTAATTTTTTGCTTCTCAATTAACCCGTGGTAGTTTAGGTTAAAATACAAAAAGTAATTTTTAAATAACACTGTATGATACGAACCTTTTCCATTTCATTTACCACCTTCACAATTGTTTACCCCTATATGAGAAGCCAATAATTCTGCAAGGTTGTATTTTGAACGGACAAAACAAAATTATAAAAGGTATTTTTAATAATTTACTTCAACCTTTTACTATTTTTTGCTATCTTCATATTTTTTACCTAATACACTGGGCATAAATTCCGCATTTTACGATCCAATTTTCTTAGGCTGATTTTTCGTCCGGTATAAAAAAAGGCACGTTTACACAGTTCAAGAGTTCAAAATCAACTATAGAAGTGATCGTGCGTGGATAAATGTTCACTGATGTTAATTATTAAAAATTACTTAAAAACTATTGTACCCAGCATAAAACACACTTAGGGACAGTACAGAGACGCTATATTTACAATTTATTGCCAAAGTTAAATAATAGTAAACAGGGCAGTATCAATCTTAAATCCTATTAAGACTGCAGCCACCACTTCTTGATTGGCGGTACACTTCGCTCAGTTCTATGGATATACCCAATAAATACAAATCTTTTAATCTCTTAACAATAGCTGCGTAAGGTGTCTGGACCATCCTTTACAATTAGGTAATTAATGTAATAGATATAATAAAATTATTTCAATTTGAATATTTCTTACCTGGTAATTATTCTGTGAAATATAAGAATTCTATGGTATTTACTAAAACTTGATTTCAGTTAATTTTAAATTCATAAAAAAACTCACGATTCGATTTCTTAGTCATGTACCCACTACTATAATCAGAGTCAATTGTTTAAAACAGTTAAAATTTTAAACTTTTGTAATAAAGTATTTTTATGTTGTTTGTTTTTAATTAGGATAGTTGAGAAAACAGTGACTAGGCTGGTAAAAATATAGTAAAATCTATCACAGCACTTTTGGATTTCCAAAAATATTTTGCATTTAGCTAGCGTGAATGCGTAACTTGTTGAATGTTTCCCATTAACTGTGGCTTAGGGAAGAAAAAATTATGAGGGTGGATAAAATTCAGTAACTACCTGGCAAGCAATTTATACTTTCAGTTACAAGAAAAGTACAGTATATAACTGTGACACTGTGACCACAGTGAATAATAACTGTGATAATAAATTCATAAAATCCAGAACAGAGCACTGTGGTATACCATAAACAACAGTAGTTTTAACCATAAGCCAGCAAAATCGCTCCCCTTAAGGGTGGTTTGGTAGTGACAAATTATTAGGGTAATAATAAATAAGTGAAAAATGGGTGAAAATTATGCTATAAGCAAAAAGTTTTTTTCCGAATTGTTCTAGCTTTAACCTTATGCCAGCAAAATATCTTAACTTAAGGTTGGTTTGGTGGTGAAAAATTATTAGGGTGGTACTAAATTAGTGAAAAATGAGTGAAAAAATATTACGTAGATTGAACTGGAACATATGACTGAAAAAAGTGAGTAAATGTATGGGAGTAGTTAAAATTTTAAAAATTAAGGCAAAGAGAAGGCTCATAAAAATAACTGCAAACAACGTAGTTTAGAAAAAAATGGAAAATAAAAAGATTTTGATAATTTGAAAAATGTTAACAGTTCTCAAAGAATAAAAAAATATAATCAAAAATTGACAAAGAAAATAATAAGAGAGAAGTAAAAGTAAAATATAAGAAAGGAAAAGTTTTTGATAAGAAAATAATTTATTTAATATCAAAAGGAATGCTGAGAAGATAGTTTCTAATCAACCTAACAACTAACAACCTAACCTAACAATTAGAAAAACTATCACCTCAGACAATATTATACGCTGTAGAATTCCAAAACAAAAATATGTTAACTCTATTTAAGAGTTGTTAAAATTCAAGCAATAATTAAAAACTTTATAACCATTAATATAAGAAAATGTAGAAAACTTTTTAAAATTTTTAAATTAAAAACAAAAGCATGCTTGACTAGTTTACCTGCGATATTGACAATAAATAAGAGGAAAAGCCAGTAAAACTCTATAAACTTCATTTAGATGCACTGTAACAGATTTCAGAGAAATAAAAGTCCAGATCGCAGCAGGAGCGGTTTTATACCTACAGGGAACGACAGCATAGATTACGATTTACTCAAATTTATATAAAGTGATCGTTTGATTGGATTCGTTTCGAGGGCATGATTGTAGAAATACGATACCGTTGTAAAAGGATTTTTAAACCTGTCGCTTTGTTTAAATTTAAGGTATATTGTGAATCTTAAAATACTCGTTTTTTGTGGCTTTAAAATTCTGCTACTGTATCTGCAACTATACATATACAAATATTTAAATGTCTGAGGTACGCCACTTTTGCTGCACTTGTTTTAATAAAAACTTTTTTTATTAATGCATATCATTCGATTTGAAAATTTGGTCTCTACAAATCAAGCTATGCTATAAAAATAATTTGTCTGTCAATTACACTGTTTTATTAATGCAAAGGTAACAGCACCTCAAATTAATTTGCTTCAAATTATAAAGAAAACGTGTTTCAAATTTCAAAGATAGAGTACTTATTTTAAAATTTGTCATGAAAAGTCCGCATTTAACACATACTTAAATGGTAAGTACTACGAATATAATTAGAGCTGGTCTTTAACAAAATGGTATTATATGTCATTTTGACGTATTTAAGAAGCGTGATTTCGCGATTGTGGCGTCTTAATAAACAATTTGGTAATGTCACTAAAAGACATGGAAGTTATCAAACTGCAACTACTCCTCCTTGAAAATTGAACGTGTCTCACAATGCAACTACTTTGGAAGTGTTATCAATGAGTCGTGGGACAATACCACGACGAAAGGCAAAAAGTGCATTCTTGACTATGAGCTCTGTGCTCAAGGGCCATGACCTCACCATAGATACAAATACAAAAATAAGGCTTCTTAAATGTTTCATGTACTCAGTGGTTCTGTCCGGAGTAAAAACGTGGACATTGAAGATCTAATTAGCAGATGAAGAAGAACTGCGGACAATGAAGAAGAACTGCGGAGGATGAACACAATCGCGGATTTGGTTAATATCGTGAAGAGCCGTAAGCTGCAGTACTTGGGACATAAAATGAGAAATAAAGGCAGATACGAGCTACTTGCATTTTACAATGCATTTTGAAGGTAAAATTATAGGAAAGAGAGCCCCAGGACGAAGAAGAATATCCTAACTTGCTAAACTGCGAGCATGGGATAGAAAGACCTCAACACAGCTATTTCGTATAGCAACCAACAAAGTCATCATAGCCAGAATGATCGCCAACTTTCGTAACGGACAGGCACCCTAAAGAAGAAGAGCTACTCTTCGACAGAAACAGTATGTAGTAAGAGTAGCTCGTCTAAATGTGCATATAACTGCACAACAACTTTGTGGGGCATTAGAAAATAGCCAAAACATTACTGTATGTGACCAAACTTTGGGGAATAGATTACACGAATCTGGATTACACGCCGGCGTTCATTGAAGGTTCATATGATACAACATGGAAATCGTGGACTCAGATTAAGATGTACACATCAACGTGTGCATGTGGGGCTTAAAAGAATGAAGTTCTGTGTTATTCAGAGATGAATCTAGGTTTTGTTTCTATCTTGATTTAAAATTGGAGTGAGAGTTTAAGACGAATTTTTCGATATGAGAGACTGAGGCATGTACAATAGCATGTACCAATGTATGGAAAAACAGAGTGTCTCAAATTAGTATGATTTGCAGGGTACACCAAAAACTAGACATGATAGAAAAAAAAGTAGTTAAGATGTTATGACTTCTTGTTTCATTAAAGTAACGATTGTCCTATCAAATCATAAATAGCTCCCAACATTAGCGAGATACAGGGCGATTATTGAAGAATGTCGAACAGGGTTATATACCTTCTTTATTGGAAATATTTTTGAAAAACTATTAAAACTTTTAATAGATAAATTATAGAAAGGTTCGGTGGCGTCATATTGACAAGCTGATGAAATGATTCTCGGTCGGCAGTTAGATGAAACAGTTCCTTGACCGTTCGACCTGTCCATTGTCTAATGTTACGCATCCAGGACAGTTTTCTTCCGACCCTACGTTTTCCTTCGATTTTGCCCTGAATGATTAACCGGAGTAAGTGATATTTAGGTCCTCTCATTATATGACCGAAGTATTGGACCTTTCTCAGTTTGATGATGTTGATAAATTCTCGCTCTTTGTGCACGGTCTCTAGCACACGTTCGTTAGATATGTATGCTGTCCACGGGATTCTAAGCATGCGACGGTAAGACCATAACTCAAATGCGTATTTGTTAAGATTTTTTATTTTTGTTGTCCAGGTTTCACATCCATAGAACAAAGTGGACCAGAGGTAATACTTCAATGCTCTTAGACGTGTGGTCAACGACAGACTTCTACTGCATAATAAATAGCGCCAGTTAATAAAGTTTTTCCGTGCAAGTTCTATTTTGGGCGAAATTTCCTCGTCACTTTCAACCATGAAGTCAATCCAGCTACCCAGATATTTAAAGTGTTCCAACCTTTCCAGGATTTTGTTATCTAATCTAAGTACTGAGTCTTCGATATGTTTTTTACATAGGACACCCTATATATTATGACATTTTTAAGAAATTATTATAAACATAAAATCAGCAATAATAAAGAATGTAACAATTAGAATAAATTTTACAAAAATATGAAAATTATATTAATTGCTCGAAATGTTTTATTGTAATAATAATTGACACCTTTTTCTTACAGATCTTATACAATTGAGTACTGGCTTTATTTCTCTAAATGCTTTGTAATAAGTTTTCCTTAAAGTTAAGGCTACTTTTATGAATATTGCTTTTTAAAAATCCCCAAATGAAAAAATCAGGAGGATTAAGCTCTGGTGAACGAAGTTCCAATCCACCGATTATCAATTTTTTCAGTTAAATAATTTCCAACGAATTCAACATTATGGGCAGGTGCTCCATCTTGGTAAAACCAAAATGTGTTTCTTTCAACCAAATATTCCTCATCAAAAATGGCATTTAAATTCGTTTCTAAAATATCAACATACACATAATAACTAAAGTTAAAACCGAATCTTCCTTGCCGCCTGATGCCTTGAACTAATTTGAGTCATTCTAAAAAAGTTCATTGTATCGTACTGTATCATTTTATATTCCTGCACTGGAAATACAAAGTTCATCGCTTCATTAACCTTAGAATAAATATTTGGATTTTCACAACATTTCCTATGTACAATTCTGAAAATCGTATCCTTCTTAAATAATTATTTGGATATAATTTTTGTCTGAGAGGTATATAATATGGTCTGAATTTATGTTTCGTTTAAATTTTCTCAGCACTTGTCTTTAGAATACCTATTTCCTTCTTAATTTGGCGTAAGGAAATTTTATAGTATGTTTGTATATAACTTAACGTATTTTGAACTCTCGTTTTATTTTTTTTACTGACGCCATGGTTTTATGAAATATCCATGCTGTAATACATTTGAATCAAGTTTTTTAAAAATTTTCTTGTGTGGTTGCTTTCTCTCTGGATATCGCTGAAAGAATAATTCAGATACGGCAATAACTTTTTTTTTTACTTTCAAGATATGCCAAATGCATATCGTATTTTTTATAATTTTCAAAATTCATGTTGTTGTTGACAATACTTCACGTCACAAATAATTGTGATAGGTTATGACAAAGGTTTAGTGGTCTACTCCGTAGTAAGACCCCTGAAAAGATTTCTTGTACGCAATAGAACCCTTCTATGTTTATCAAAAGTTTTTATAAAGTTTTTTAACCCTGTCGTATTCGAAATTTTTTAATAATCGAAATGTAGCTCGCTAAGGTTGGGAGGTATTAATGATTTGATTTTACAATGGTTAGTCTTGGCAAGGTATTATTCCATATATTGATATAAACATTTTTAAAAATTGGGTCATTCTTCTGTAATGATAACTTGCAACTTTAACTTCGAAAGCGCAGGGTTAGATGCTACATTTGGTCAGTCCTCTTATACGGTGTCGAAGCATGGGCATTAAAAATATCCACCATTAATCCATGGACGGCTATGCTGACAAATGTGGCAGTCCTTGAGAGAGCAAATGCTGCTCGCGAGCTGCTTGATAACATCAAATGTAAAAAGATGGCCTATTTTGGACACGTAGTAAGGGGAGACCGATATAATATTCTTCAACTTATTATGATGGGTAAAATCGAAGGACGCAGAGGAATTGGTAGAAAGCAGGCCTCTTGGTTGAAGAATATCAGGGAGTGGACAGGAATAAAGAAAGCAGAGCAACTCTTTAGAATAGCTCGAGACAGAAACAGTTTCGCCATGTTAATCGCCAACGTCAAGGGGACTTGATAGGACACGTTAAGAAGAAGATTGATATACAAGATATCACGAGGGCTGAAATAATTTTTTATCATCAAAGTGTTCCCATTTTTGTGAAATGTACTTTAAATGAATATCATATATTGATCATATCTTAGAACATATTGTCCTTTCATTTGCCACTGCTGCAGTTTCTAATTTGCTTTATAGACAGGATACTTTATGATTAAATACTGCAGCAACAGTGAGAGATTGGTTTGACAATGGGGATATTACACGCTTACCGTAGCCAGCACATACTAGGAATATATCCTATTGGCTCAAACCGAAATTGATAATTTAATTTAAAGCATACCAAGGCAATATCAAGCTATAATTATTGGTGCTGGAGAAAACATAGATTATTAAGCACATTTTTTGTTAGATTTTTATATTTTATATTGGCTTTTATGGTAAAATTTTTTATTAAATCAGTGCTACTCTTAACTTTTATTTAATTATTTCATCATAAAGAAATCATATACGAATATTAGTAGAAATCTTAATACTGGTTCAGTATCTACATGTTTTGCTTGGTTTTACGCAGCGCTTAAGTACAAAATTCATTTTTATTGTAAATGTTCATTTTATAGAACATTTGAAATCACGGGAGAATTCTAGTTAAATCTAGCGCAACACAAAATTCCTAATCATGAGAAAAAGTCAAAATTGATGTAAAATTAGTGTAGTAAAAT